GCCACCTATGTCTTTAAAAAACACACCCGTACATATGAGACACTGCTCTCTGTGCCTTTTGTTCAGAAAGGTCTGCGTGTCTCTTAAGGCCACGTTGAGCTTAAAGCGAATGCTGTGGTTCAATGACAACATGACAACAAGCTGGCAGGTGGCACACAATATGTGCTTTTGCCCCCCAGCTGTAAGAGGCTGATGGGGTACAGTAGTCACCCCGCCGGGCAAGAAGATGGGTGGGTGGCATGGAGCCTAAGTTTATGAATGTGATAACTCTGGAAATAGACGATCCAGGAGCTTCAGATTGATGCTGCAGGTGGAACTACTACAGATCTGATGAGTTTGAATCCCAGATTATATTTTCATCATGTGAATGTGAACCTGAGAACAAGGCGATGTAGGATTTCAAACTGATACCATCGGTGTGTCAACCAGGAGGCCGAGGGGCAGCACTGGAAGCTTGCAGTGTTTTTTTTAATGTGAGAAAACACACCCAGGGCTGGACTGGGACAAACATCAGCCCTGGTGTTTTTGGTCTAGACGTCCCACTGTGATCGCTCAGCGAAGGTAGGCAGAGGCTCCGTCACGTTAAGACGTCTGACCCTTCAGGATGGCCCATCGGCCAAAAAGTGCGTCGGCAGTCCAGCCCTGGGTAGTTATGCAAACCAGGCAGTAATGGACTCAAACTAGAATTTAATTTCCTTCTAATAATATCTGCCTCAACATGCATTTAATGCCCATAAGCCTAAAAACGCCCCGCTCTTCTGTCTCGTTCCCCTGTGACCTGTGTTTTGTATATAAGACTCATTAGACGGCTCGGCTGGCTGTGCAGCAGTGTTAGAGGAGATGGCATCACTGTAATGGAGTTTAGTTTAAAAGTATTTGTTACAGCAGCCCTGCAAGGCTCTGCCAACCTCCCCCCACCATCCCCACCACCCCCGCTTCCAGCTACCTTGAATTGAATAAGCAGAAGAAAATGGAAGGACAGATTTGTTCGAGACACATTCAGCGTGCTATGATTTCTAATTTACCTTTCCTGAATGCATCACCGCTTCTCCGAGCTCATCCTTGCCAGAAAGAAGATAGAAATTTGCACAAAGCTTAAATTCATTTCAGAACTGTTCTGTTTTCAGTGTTTGGATGAAAAAGCATGAAAAGAGGTGCGTTTTTCTGCAATTTCTCTGCTTTTCAGGGATAGATGTCAATTTAATCTCAGGACAGCAGCATATATATCCAACTGCTTATTCCTCAATTCAAACCAGAGAGCTGGGCACTTCCTGTGGTCGGCGTGGATCGCTAAAACACGTTACTCACTGTGTCGAGGCAGGATTGTAGCTTCAAGATGCAGTGAGCGTGTTTCTGGTAGATATCTGTTTCTGAGTGTTTACATTAAAGCGTGGTAGGATTCAACGAGCCGCTCTCTTCTCTCTGCTTCACTTCTGCCTGTTCTTAGATAAATAGGTTTAGAAGCGATGGAGACAACAGGACAGAGTTGAGATGGAAACTAGTTTATCAAAAAAAGCTGTTGTTAAGTAAAAGCTCACACGGTCACTGTTGTTTTCTTTCAAGCTTTAGTTTCTTTGAGATCCTTCGAACGCTCCCCTGTGGAGTGTTGTTCTTAAGCGCAGCTTTAATCAAAAATTAAAACGATTCAAATGTCAGCACCCGGTCTAATTACACACGCCCCTCTGTGATTTCGGTTTGTATTGTTTGCTCTGCGGTGTCTGAATAAGAAGGTGGCATTTTCAGCTGCTGAAATACTTCATAAGTGGTCAGACTTGAATGGCTTCTCTTGATAGAAAAACAGCTTTTATCAAATTATCTGTCAGTCAGTTTGTTAGCACGATCCTCCAGCTTCACCTTTAAAAGGCACCTCAATTTATTATGAGAGCAGAGATTCTATTTAAGCTCAGCCTCTGCTCGGCTGAGCTTAAATAGAGGAGCGTGACCTGTCGGAGACCCTTAAAGAACCTCACAGATGGAAAGGGCTCTCGGTATCCGAGCCCCGTACATTCTGAGATGTTCAGCCATCTTTCATCCTCGGCTTTCACCTGCCATTGGTAAATAAGAAAGAGCTACGGTGCATGAATCTCACTTTAGTTCAAGATATGCCTGCGGGCTCAGTTACTGTCAAGATTGCAGCCTCTTTGGCTTCGAGCTGAGGATTCAGAGTGGTGGATGAGCGCAGAGTAAATAAAGATGACGAGGTGGTTCTCGGTTCTGTCAGGAATAAATCATGGCGGAGAATGTGCTGACTTGGTCACAGGATGCCAGTTGCTGTGAGGATTTGGTGAAGAGCAGGCCAACCGCACTCCGGCCTGATAATGCACGCTGACCTACAGAATATTTAGAATCTGTGCTTGCAAGCAGGCGCCTGCAGGTGCGCGATAAATAAGCTGAGGAGAAAGCGTGTTCAAGTGAGCAGAAAAACGTAAACTTTTCAAACAGACGGCAGTGGAGCACGTCTGTAACATTCGTCTGATGTAAGAGGTTTTATCTTACAGGCTCCACCGTGTTACTTACTCTCTTTGATGACGCGTCAGGAATCGCTGGATTTTTCTTCTTCTTTCCATTTGCAGCTGTCCTCTAGAGTTCACTTGACTGTGAAGAGCGTTTATCTTCTGCGTGTGATAGTTTTGCTTTGTTGGGATCACATAAACACTGATGCAGTTTTAAAAATCCTTTCTGCACGTCTGTGTCTGCTACTCAACGAGCTGTAATTTATCTTATTTGTTAGTGTCCGATTAGACAAGTGAAGTCAGAAATGGTGAACAGAGTTTCCTCGGTAACCTGCGCACACTGTCGTTTGTTTTTGGCTCGCTCTTTCTTCTTCTCTTGTTTGAGTGTTTATACATCTGTGCAAACTTTAGATTTGTCCTTGCAGAAATGTCCAGACACCACATTTCTATGGGAGATGTCATAAAAACCCTCGTCATCTTTTGAAACACGGACCGTGTTTTCCGTATAAGCTGCAGCGTTTTAACACTGTGACGCCAAATGGCCCCGAATCAGGCAAAGAGTCGGTTTATACGGCACGATGAGTGAGTTTAACCTCCACCTCGCCGTTTCTCTAAAGATAACTAAGGAGGTTTTTTTCCCGTCTGAGCTCTGTCACGCAGTAAAACCAACACACTCGCACGTTTATCGTATTTCAGTATTTTTGCTCTTATAATCACAGATGGCCAATTAAATGAGCCGGTTCATACGTGACACGTTTCTGCATCATAACCTGGTTTATTGTACGTAATCATATGAATCTTATTCTGTTGCCAGAAGTAAACTTGCATTAAACAGCGCTGAGCTTCTCCCCCAGACGTCATGTGACTGCCAGACGTTTTCATTTCATTTCACTTGCAGCACTTCAGATACGAATATTCAGTTTATTGGTTTAGACTTTCAGCTGGGACGCTTACGCAGTCACACAGTATCGATGCTGCATTTAAATTTAACTAAGAATTTAATTTGGGATCCATCCAGTCGTTTGTGTAAAGGAGGACGTAGAGTGCCAGCCGATTGGGGTCTCAGTAAATGGGAAATGAGTTGAGAGTGAGGGTTGGTCGCTAACAACATTAGCACACAGTCCACCAGACTGTTGGTGAAGAGGCCAGAGGGAGTTTAGTCCTGCCAGGAGTTTCAGCGCAGCAGGACCGATCGACTGAGCGCTAACACAGTGTGTCTGCATACTGTGTGTACAGCATGTGTGCGCTCACTTAAAATGTCACACACTCTCATATGGCTGACTGTAGTTTTGGAGCATAGCAAACCGAGCGTAGCATTAGTTAGCCTACTCACATTTGCTGCACCCCTGTAAGCCGGTTTGCAGCCCACCTCCACCCCAGCTGCTCGCTTCGTGCTCTTAACAAACTAATGACATATTGTGTTGTTGCTGCTGCTCTCTCTGCTTTCTCCACTGCACATGTGTGCTTGTCAGGGAGGGCGCGTGACACATGGAAACATGGTGCCAAAGATACGTTACTGCTGCCTGGAAAAGTTGCTGCTTTGCATTTTAATTCAAAGGATAAAACTGTGATGTGTTTTCTATTTGTTACAGGTAACATGAAACATTTCAAGCCTTTCTTTTTTTATTTTTAAGGATTGTGAAGCCAGAATCTGGGACCTTGTTTTTTTCATCTTATAATCTAGATGAATAATTTTGCATTCCAGAAAGCATCATTTTAAGGAAACGGCTGTAAAGTGGTTTTAGGTTGTTTAGCATTGACCTTATTGTGTCAGCGTGTAACACCTTTTTCAGACCATCATTTGGTCTTGATGGGTTGCACATTCGGTCTGTTTGGGCATTATTGCGTTAGCCGGACAGCGTGACCCCTCATATCCGCCATAAACTACAGACATGACTGGCTTCTTATTGCAGGAAATCTGAGGTTGGCAGGTAGCCATCACAAAGCAATTTTGTGCCAATGTGTTACTAACGATGCAGCGCGCTGCAGGACCACCACCAGCCTTTGTTGGGTAACAAGGTGATAATTGCAAACAGAAAGCTGAAGAAAGAGTCACAACAATATCTAATAATGGCAAAGAAAAAGAGTCCTGCACATGCCAAGCAGTTAATGAGAGGCCCGGATTCTCTCTTGAATAAATTACTAAATATTACATTAGTGCGTCTGCCTTTGCTTTGTATTGTATCCTATATTTTATGCATTTTTCTAATTTTAATATTGTTCAGTAGGACATTCTGGTGTCGTCTTTCTGTGTCTATACGTGGGAGAGGAAACAAATTGGGGGCATTTGGCGTTCAGCAGATGTTCTAGTTGGATTTTAAAGACTGAGGCATTAATTTACAATTTCATGAAAACACTGTCACAAAGTTTCTACATTATTAATACATGATGGGGGATTTTGTGGGGCATGAAGATTTTAATTGTCTCTTAATAAAACGAATGCTATCAGAGCAATGAGGTTTCTGGGTCTATCCACGCTCGCTCGCAGTAATGAAACATGCTAATGCACACGTTCTACACAGTCACTGACCTGCTAACCTGTTGCAGGCTGGGATGATTCGCACCGAATCGGATGAGTACTTCATCGAGCCGCTGGAGAAAGGCACTCAGGAGCTGGAGGACCAGGGCAGGGTCCACGTGGTTTACCGCAGGTCAGCTCTGCTGCAGACTCCCTTGGACATCTCTGTGGATTACCAGCTACAAGGTAGGAGGCACGACCACGGTTCCTGCTGTATTCTCTTACTTATCAACTAATGGTGTGACACTCCTGTGAGGTCACTGCGGAGGGTTTTCTGTGAAGCTTTTTGTTAACTACTTGTGTCCAGCCCAAATAGTCTAAAAAGCAAAAACTGACATTTACATCTGTGAAGAGTCCAGACTTCATCGTGTGCCTCACACAAATACAACAGCAGCAACTTTTTAGAGATATGAAAATGACACACACAAAAAAAACATTAAAAAAATGAATGTTGATATTGATGAAAAATGTAAATGTTGGCAACAGGAGTTTAGGTCACTTGTTAACATTTCAGCATTTATTTGTAGTTATCAGTGAAAGCAGTTACCGTATTTCCCGGACTACAGAGCGCACCTGAATATTAGCCGCACAAGCTAAAATCAGGGGAAAATCCTGTTTTGTACATACATTAGCCGCACCTGACTAAAAGCCGCAGGTGTTTCAATGTTGACTTATCATATGTCAGAGAATGTGCACAAAGGGAATTGTCAGGAAAGAGATGGCTGTTTGGAGACACACCCCTGTCATTAATATTTTGAAAAACAAGTTACGGGTACATATTTGCATAACTTTTTAGGTATATGAAGTGACACGGCTTTAACAAGAAGAAAAGTCAGTCATTCACCACCATCTTCCTGCGCACTAAAACCACCAAAGTCCTCTTCTCCAATGTCGGAAACAAACAGGCTCAGGATGGCTTCATCATCCACTCTCAGCTTCTCTCCTTCGTTGTCACTTTCAAAACCAAAGAAATCCTCGTTGTCAGTGTCAGAGTCGAACACCCTCTGAAGGGCCGTGGCGGTGTCCTCCTCTCCATCATGCAGCAGTCCAGCCCTTTGAAATCCGTTGGTGATCGTGGATGTTTGCACACTTTTCCACGCTGTCAGATTCCACCGGTAGAGTTGAGCATAACTTGCTTTTCGCAAGTTTATCGCCCCTCGTCATCCACGCCTCCCGCTGAACGCGTAGCGCTACTTTGAAGTTTGTTTTTCGCGCTACTTGTACGGCACTATGTTGCCTGGCGGATGGACACGTGACCAACATACCACTCTTGAACCCCGATACTGTGTGTCTGATCACATGCCCTTCCGCCAGGCAACGTAGTGCCGTACAACAGCAGAACAAACAAAACAAATCGTCTTACGATATCACAAAAATCATGGACAATCCAGAGAAAAGCCACACCTGACTAAGAGCCGCAGGGTTCAAAGCTCGTGCAAAAAGTAGCGGCTCATAGCCCGACAATTACGGTAATTAGATTTCGTTCCCTGTGCTGCTGCTGCTTTTACTGCTACTCTGACTGTTGTTGCTCTAACTGTTGTTATTAATGCTCCAAACTGCAACAGGGAGCTGTAAATGCAAATTTTACCCTCTATTTATACCGAATAAATGTCATTGTTGCCACTGTTGGAAAATGTAATGCATCACTTGGACTGTGAAGGAGAACCGTGCTCAGGAAGGGTGATGAAACCACTGACTCACCGTGTGTTTAGGAACAACAAAGTCTATATTAAAACATAGAATCGCTTCACCTGCAATTTTTAAAAAGGGCTTAAAAGTATGGAGCAGGGTGATGACTGACTCGGGGGGAGCAGAGTCCTCTCCCTCTGGCTGTGGGTAAACAGAGCTGAGATACTGTGTTTAAGTCATGCGCACACTGTGTTCGTGAGCCCGCGTCAGTTTGTGCTTACATTATGAGATCTGAATTGTGACAGACGTGCTTAGTGTTGCATTTCTTTTGCCTTTTCTCCACACGTCGGTGTGCCAGTGGATGCATTTGTCCTGATTGCTGCTCTAAAATTAATTTTCTCTGCCTTCATGCCCCTGCATACTAAAAACTGATGATAAAAGCCACCCTGAAGAAAGAGCGGAGTATGTTGCAGGCAAATAGTTGCTCAATTTAAAGTTCCTCAACTACAATTTTGTTTCCATTTCCCCGCGCTAGCAAGCTGCCATGTAGGGATATTTATTCACCTGGAAGTTTGAGCAATAGTTATGGCCTCTGGTGCGGAGGCCATAACTATTATTTCTGATGTAATTCAGTAATAGAAAGTAAAAAATGCACAAAAAATAATAATGAGGTAAATAAATAACTAAAATTATTCATCCATGACTGTAAAATTAGGTGGAGTTCGAATGTTGTCGTTAGTGATTAACAGGCTGTGACAGCTTGGATCATGGTTGGATGGACGAGTGCGGATCTAAAACACAAAACCCCATTAATTCATTTAATATGTGTATATATAATAAAATCTGTTTCATAGACATCTGTGAGCTTGACTGTGAGATAATTCAACGGAGAGTTTTTGACTGTCAACTAATTTTCCGATGGTTATCACGTCGTGTGTAGTCACAGGGTAGATTACCAAGAAGCAGAGTAAATTTCATCCTCACCTCCCTCAGTAATGCTAATCCCATCCAAACGGGGCTCGAGTTAGTTTAGCATCAGCTGAGAGAGTTGGTACTGTGGGATAAAGCTCTGTCTTGGCTCTTTGCCTGCTTTGAAACAGATAACAGATGTTCTTTAAGAAAACACGAGAGACTGATTGTGCTGATAAGCACCAGCGCTCTCAGTAAGAAAGCTGAGAGACGTTATCAGAGGTCTGTTCATCAGGTGGTCTCATTCTTTAGTGGCAGAGGACAGAGGCATGATCCCATTATCTGATTTGTCTCATTTAAGGAATTAATTTCTAACAAATCAAAGAAAAGAAGGACAAAGGAAAACATCTGTGACAGCTGTGAGCTGTGCTGAGAGAACAGGTCCAGAAATATGAAACAAACGTCCTGCAAAACTCTAACAGTCATTTAATGTTTTCAATGATTTACTATGTAAATCCTGAAAAACTGACTTTATGTGAAGAAAGTGTGTTATTTCATCACCTCATGTAAAGACGGCAGTACTTAAACTGAGCGGCTCATTAAAGAGTTAGATGAATAAAATTGTGTAGCAAAATCGGTGATAATTTTAAGTTAAAATGGAATAAATCTGCAGAAAGTGTAACTACGAAAAGCTGATCTTGTGCCTCGATCGCCGCAGACTGAGAGAATTTAATGAACATTTGAACGCCGGCCGATGATGGCGGCGAGCTCCTCCACACAAACACTACAAACCACATCACTGATCCACATTAATGCGAAACAAAGCATAACTGTGATCACAGCACTACTAAATCAACTATTTGAGGTGCTGAATTTTCTCTGGTCTCTGTGAAGTGTTAAAAATATTAAAAATATCCACATAATGCAATAAAATAAATTCAAGCAGTACAAATTAAATTAATTTCACTAGTTTCATTTAAACACGTTGCTGCATTTATACCAATTTCCCCCATTTACATATTTCACATTACTTATTTATGATATTTATAAAATATTGAGTATGTGGGATACCAGAACTACTAAATATAAATGGATTAAATAAATATTCCAGATGCTCATTTAAATCTAAATTGAGAGCAGTGGGTGAAAGCTCTTTGTCAGACCCGTAGAGACAGCGAGAATTCAACTGGGAGGAAGACGTTTGGAAAACAGCGAGTGGACGCGAGCACAGGCTGATCAGCACAGGCTGAACTTACTGATCACTTCATGCAGTGGCTACATGCGAAAGAGATCTGCTGCTGCTCCACAGTAAACATGCTTCTTTAGTACATTTATAGTAATTTAAAGGCCACAGTACCCCATCGCTTAGCTGAGCCCTGGCACCATTATTTACACGTGCTGCATCTTGTTTATTATGAAATGCTTCCTAACAGACAGGAAGGCACGAGGGAGGTGGCGTGGCGAGGCCTCATCTGGTCGCTTCATTGTAGAAACGCGCAGACATGATGAAAGATGGTGATTCTGATCCCGTCACAGCGTCCGAGTCCTGACGTCAAACTGGTGTGAAGCACCGATAATGAAATCATCAACACGATCAATCGGCTACTTTGTTACAAAAAACAACAAAACAAATTCAACAGCTATGATATGTTTCACTTAAACAGCGGCTAAAGTCGTCGTAAACTTTTGATGGGGACTGTATACTATATATATTTTGCATGGTTGGATTGTAACAAGGTTTCTAGTAGAGCTTCAACAGGCAACAAGAAGACATGGGAGAGAAACGAAGCATTTTTTGAGCATGCAGTTTATTAAAAACAACACTTAAACTGAATGGATAGTCTGAAACGTTTGATGGGGACTGTATAATAGCATGTCAGTAATATTAGACCCATTCTATGGCAGGAATACATCTCAACCTAACTGTTGGTGCTTTAACACCTGCAAAAAAATATTCAGCTGACAGTGAGCTACTAGATATACTTTATTTATCTCAGTCAATATGATCAACCAAACCAGCACTTTGTGATGTAAGAGTTTGCCGGCTCCAGGAGCCGTTTAAGTGAAGCACTTGTGCGCTGCTTTGTCTCACACACATCACAGGAATGAGAAATATCAGATGACAGTAAAGGGTTAACGCTGAGCCTCGGAGGTGCCGTAGGACAGCGGTCTCCAACCTTATTTGCACCACAGACCGGTTTATGCCCGACGTTATTTTCATGGACCGGCCTTTAAGGTGTCGCGGATAAATACAACAAAATAAAAGTAGTACTGGTACCGAAAAAAAGAAGATTTATTCATAACACGTGAAAAGACCCAGGAAAACAGAGATAAAAACGATAACAAAATAACACTGAAAACCAGACATTTCACAGCTGAGCCTCAACTCTCGCGGCCCGGTACCAAACGACTCACGGACCGGTCCGAGGCCCGGGGGTTGGGGACCGCTGCTGTAGGAGATTATTTGCACTGTACGCAGAGCTGTGTTGTTCTTGGCTGGGTTCCCATCACGGGATATTTTGGTGTTGATTGGATTTCTTACTTTGAAGCCATCTAGTCTGTGTCATGTCCTGTAACCCGAGGACTGTTGATGATGATGGCGGATGTGTAGGTTGTTCTTTCTGTTGCTGCTGTGACGATGCTTTCCA